TTTGAGACTTTAGTCTTTGCAACTTTACAGATCTTCTTTATGCACCAAGAGCTTGTAACACTCCAAAGAGAAAGGAAAAATTGAAATCGCATCATATGACCCCTTTAAAAGCAGAGTGCTACTTACCATCTGGAACCTCGTCCGGCCTCTTGCGCTTCTCGTAAACCACAATGATGACCACGAGGATGATGATCTCGGCCAGGACGCCCAGGAAAGGCCACAGCGGGGCGAGGTGACTCCGCACCCGCAGGATAGTCATGGACTCTTTGGAGCCGATGATGTTGGAGGCATTGCAGACGTACTCGCCCGGGTCTGTGCTGATGTCCAGACTGATGATACTCAGTTCTGTGAAGTTGCCTTTGTTGATGATGAAGAAGCGGCCGGTGCTGTTGTCAATGTCCTGTTACGAGAAAATGAAGAGAAAATTCATCTAATCCATGACATCATCTCATCTTCTGTCTATGAAATAAATTTCAATGCGATTCCAAGTCATATCATGAGGGAGAGTAAATGATGGCACAATTTGTATTTTTGGGTGAACTATTCCTATAAATAACGTTTAAGGTTAATATTTTTATTCAACAAGGATGCATTAAATTGATCAAAAGTGTCAGTAAAGACATTTATGATGTTACAAAAGATTTTCATTTTAAATAAATGCTGTTCTTTTGAACTTTCTATTCATCAAAGAATCCTGAACAATAAAATGTATCGTAGTTCACACAAAAATATTCAGCAGCACAACTGTTTTCAACTTTGATAATAATCAGAAATGTTTCTTGGGCAGCAAATCGGGATATTGGAATGATTTCTGAAGGATCATGTGACACTGAAGTCTTACAAGATCCCAGCAACAAATGACATTTACAATATATTCAGAAAGAAAACACTTATTTTAAATATGGATATACTGTATATTATATATGACTTGCTTACGTACAATGTAAGATCCCCGACCAACTTTCTTGCGCCACAACCACATAGGATGCGGGTATCCCACTGATTTGCAGTACAGCGTCGCATTTTCACCTTCTTTTTTGTTCTCGCTTCGTTTGTGGCCGAAGATTTCAGGAGCAGCTGGGCAGAGACAGAAGAGTTTACCTGTAATGATGCTTTTACATCACTCATCACTTTTCCGTGTCTTTCATACAAGTTAATCATTAAAAACGCTGCCATGAACATATTATCAGAGCAATTTGTATGGTTCAGAGTCTTGCTTAAGGACACGATGCTGTTGAATCTCTCCTTATGCTGACTGAACCAGCAACAGTTCATAATTGTACCAGCATTGAGACATAAAGGCAGTGACATCAAAACTGACTACCTTTAATAATACTTCCTATATAATATCTCCTTTTGAAACAGGAAGTTGGGACATGACAAATCAAAGGGTTGTTTAAATAGCAAATTAATATCATAACACTAGTCAACTCATGTCAGGGTCAAGGGGCGGGACATTCACATTCAAGACAGCATTTGATTGGACAAAAATTTGCATACACTTGAGAGCAAGATAAGTCATCAGTATTTTTGGTCTTTTTCTGGAAAACTCTTAATACATTAATACATACAGAAAACAAGATTAATATTTTAAGTCATTTTGCATTTCAAGGAAATGTTTATCAATTTTAGAATGTTTAGATATCTGTACTGGAAAACATGACCAAAATAACTGAAAATGCAAAATAGCATAAAAATAGAAGTCTTCTTTTCTTAAACTATTAAACTGAAGTGAGATGAAATATGGGGTCAGAAAAAATTTACTTAAAAGGGAAAACAAGTTTATTTTCTGACCCCACTGGCTGATTTATAATTTTTTTCTTCTTGTTTTAAGCCGTTCTTCTGTTTTCTTGATTTCTCAGAAAATGACTTCTCATGTAATTTTACATCTCAGATAAATGTATCTTGATTTGAGAATGTTTAGACATTTGCACTGGAAAACATGACAAAAATACTGAGCAAGAACAGAACTTCATACAGCATACAAATAAAAGCCACAAAACTCATATTTTGATTTCACACGAGTTTTGGATGTGGAAAACAAGTAAATTTTAATCGTTCTTGCATAATCGTGTATCCCAACACCACAAATGATTGACATAATGAGATGGCGCAGACTTAATTAAAAGCAACCCCCCCGCGGGAGCGGTAATTCAGGCTTCCCTTCTGTGATGTGCTGAGTCACCATCATTCCCCTTCACTGGATGATACACAGCTCAATGTCACAAACCCCGCGGCCCAATATTCCCCGGAATTAAGAAATACTGCATACGATCGTAATCCCCCCCCCACCCGCCTCACTCATTTTAACACGCTGCACCTTCTGCAGCCGCCGCTAATCTGTGAAATTGCCATAATTCCCTCCGTGCAATTAAGCAGGATGAAACGAATCTCGGAGCGTGAACGTGTAGGATGGAGAAGGCGTGGATTGGAATTTGGCTGACATCACCAGCTCTAATTATGGTGCACACGTGCCTTCTGAGGATAGTGT